TCTAATCGCGTGGTAGTCGCAACAGAGAGAGCCACGGATCGATCGTGAGAAAGAGGTTGGGTGTGTTACCTCGTTGAAAAAGCGACGATCCATCAAGCGGATCGTATTTTCGCGGAGATCGGGCGGATCGTTTTTACGAAATTGCGTCGCGTTCTTTGTCGATCGATTCGCGTGGCAAACAGAGAGACAGAGGAATGCAAGTGGAAAGGAAGCGGAAGAAGGGGTGAGAGTAACTGTTCTCACGACGACTTTGAATTTTTGAAAATTTGAATTTTTGAAAATTTGAGTTTTTGAAAATTTGAATTTTTGAAAATTTGAAAATTTGAATTTTTGAATTTTTGAAAATTTGAAAATTTGAATTTTTGAAAATTTGAGTTTTTGAAAATTTGAATTTTTGACTGGTGAAGTACTAAACTAGTACTAAAGTAATAAGCTAGTAAAGTACTAAAGTACTAAAGCGCTAGTAAAGTGCTAAAGTACTAAAGCGCTAGTAAAGTACTAAAGTAATAGTAAAGTACTAAAGTACTTGAAGTTGAGGTTGGTACTAAACTACTAAGGTAGTACTAAAGTACTAACGCACCAAAGTACCAAAATACTACCAAAGTACCGAAGTACTACCAAAGCACTAAGTACTAAAGTACAACTTCGGTGGAACACAAAATGAATATTTGTTGCGTGCGTGGGGAAAAACCCTAGAAATTCCTTTCTACGCTACGGGAGATTCTATAAAACGAAATAAATTTTGGTTTTAATTAGTAATTCATCGTTAATTTGGTAAAACACTTTGGCAAAATTCACGTAGTTAAATAGAAACGAATGATTTTCTGAACTTCTTCGGCTTCTCATATCTGTAATCCATATATCGTATCGTTTAATTAAAGAACCTCGATAATTTGATTTCTTTCAACGTTTTCAATTCCTAAGAAAATTCTATCCAGGGGAGAATACAATCTCATTTTCACCACGACCGCGACGAACCGCTAATGGTATCGCAATAATTAATTTCGCGGTAGAATTGTATGACTTACGCGAAGCCGGAGGTAAGGAAGAAACAGCCGAAAGTAACAAGCGCGGAAAATAAGAGAATTGTTAGCGAATATTCTTATTTTTCCTCTCTGCCCCTTTCTTCTACCTTTTTTTTTTTTTTGTTGTTTTTCATTTCTAAGTATTTTTCTGCCACGAGAAAAGTATCTCATGGGCACGCTGGAATCTTTCAAAAACACGCTCGCGACACGGAAGAATAACGCGAAACAGAATTCGCGGCAGGATTACACGGCGGTGGTAAAAATTAATAAGAGGTACGATGTAAACATGTGCCACTGTGATACTCTAGGGAGGCGTAATTAATTCGAGACTTTTCTCCATAATCTGCATGGATCATCAAATAAGATTAGACCAACCAAATGTATGCAGCATTCGGTGTACATATTTCGCGGAAAATATTCATCAGTTTTACTAATAATCAGAGCTTCGGAAAATGTTAAGTAATTTGTATCGAGTATAAAATTTGGTGAAAACGGCGCAGGATTGTAATATTTATGCCGTAATTTAATGTTGCATCGCATAATCGTTTAATTATTGATAACAATTAACATTAATGTAAATTTAATTTTATCCTATATGTCATACACGTATCTGTATGTATCGTTGGTTCCTGGTATTATGATTGACGGCGTTGAAAGGCGAAACACGATAAATTATTTGAAGATAATAATAAATTTTTCCACGCAGAGCGTCCTTTTCTATTTTTGCAAAGAGTGCTTATACATTTTTCTTCCCGTGTATCAATGTGATATACGAGAGAACGAGGGCTTATAAATCCAGTTAAATCAGAGGGAAACGTATCGCGAGCTATGGAAACACATATTTGCGCGTAACGGAAGCACGCTCACGCGCGGGGGCTGGTTTATCGAAATACGAGTATGACAAAAGTAACACAAAACCCATTCAAAGCCGGCTTTTATGTACTGCCTCGCACAACATTTGCATACGCTTCTGCTACCTTCGACCTTTGCTAGATATTACCGACGCGAAATCCAGCCTCCTTGGCGAGGAAACGAAAGTAGCGCATATTAGAGTCATCTCTGGTTACTTTAATACCACTGGAATAGCGAAATATCACGAATTATAAAATATTCTAGTAACCTGATGTAAAAGAAGTTTCTCTTTAATTCTACAGTTGGAACGTAATAATAAAAAAAGGAAAATAATTTGAATGTGTTATTAAATATATTTACGTATCTGTAACTGTACGTTATACGTGGCGTTTACAATTAAGAATGAAGGTTATATAATATGAACGATATATTAAAATTAGATACCACAAAAATTGCAGAAGCTTCTTAAAGTAATCCAATGCTCGGTCTAACATTCTATGTTTGTAATTAAATGCTCAATACAAATCAATTATAACGACGCTACTCCAATTTCTCAGAACTCGTGCAAACATCCTACTATGTGATCCTACTATAATCAGCTTGGTACACGAGATTTCATTAAAAAAAACTCCCTAGAAATAATCAATTAAACGGATAACAGGTAAATCCGGATGCAAAGCTCGGCCACGTGAAACGTAGTTTATTCAAAAGAGCGGCGAGCCATCGATGAATTGTCAGCTTTAATTCACGGTAAGCGCTCTCGAAGTACTCCGCTCTCCGCTATACTCCGGCTCGCAATAAATGCAATTTAAAAATGTAAATTTCCCCGCCGGCTACCTATGAGCTTTCCCTCGGTTACTCTTTTTATTTTTCCTCTTTGTCTTCTTCTACCGACGATCCTCTAGCATCGCCTCCTCACCGCACCTTTTTACCATTTTTCTCCCCTTTGAATTTCGAATGAACGAACGACCGAGTCGGGAAAAATTCGCGATTCAACGGCGCAATTAAAATTTAATGCCCGCTGATACGTGGGCGGGTATAATTTCCGAGCCACGGTCTCGTTAATACGGCGAATTTTACGCAACAAAACGGATTACATGTTGGCACGCGATTAAAAATAATTTTCCTTTTATCAGAATACTCCACCATGCCTATATCCATGGCTTGAGGTATTCATTGACTGGTATCCGGTTACGCGTTCTTCAAATTTACGATCTCTTTTCGCCTGCATGACACATAACCTCACGTCCGTGTGTATAGGTATGTGCGAGCGCGTTTCGAATGGACAAAACGAGAAAAAAAAAGGAAAAAAGGAAAAAATGCGAGATTGGCGGTACGTAACGACACGCTTGCACTATGTAGCCCGTGAAAATCAGTAAAATGTTCGGACCACTTTTCATCTCGTCGTCATGATGCGCTGCGGTCCAAGTGTATCTTTCGACAGGCTCGTAAAAAATGCGCTCTTTGAGTCCCCTCCAACCCATTGTTCACGTATTTGATTATACTTGTGTCGGTGTCACACTAGATTTTAGAATACCTCGTTCTTTTATCGGAAAAAATGGCGCCTATTTTATATACTGAAAATCTAAATTAATAATAAATTTAATGTTAATCAAGAAGGAACATCGATTGGATGTTGGACGAGAATGTACAGTGTTTGGGATTACATATTATTAATGCTTGTTTCTAAGATGATGTAATTTATGACGTAATAACGGAAGAGGCGGGAATTTCAAATATTGTCAAAGCAGCCCTGACGTGTTAGCTACCGAGCGATTACACGCATTAACGTTAATGCACATTCAGGTTTAATAAATATTAAAGCTCGCGAGTGTAGGCCCGTCGTTAATTAATATTAACGTTAATATACTTTACCCTCATATTATCTTCAAAAGTATAAACGTATATTTAAAACAGAAATAAACACATACCTAATACTTGCCACATTTCGAATGAAGAAATATTTGGCTTCTAAAGTGTTTGCATGATAATAAAATTTAATCATACTGCTTTTATACCGCGTTCAAAATTCCTGTACTATATATTTAATCAGTAAAAAATCGAACTTTTAATTAGCTACAAATTCATAGCAGGTCATAGCTAGCCATGGATCACGTCCATAAATACTAATAACAAGATTTAATTAATATAATATCCAGAGCCCATGTGCACCTGGTAGATACCATGTGCTCGTAGAAATGTTAATTTCAGACGAAGAAGGGTCAATATAAAGAGCAGGAACAGGACAACTTGCATGGAAGCTTAACTCCCCTCAAGAGGATAATAAATATAAATACACACTTCTAAAGGTGAAGTTACTTCATCATCGGTTAATTGCGACACTCAAAACGGCTTTCGCGTTGCTCTATGCATAGAAGGTGACCAATTTTAATCTATCAGTACGAATCATTAATAAAGTACTCGCTGCGCTACATAATAGTTTAGGCAACAATTGAATAGTTTTAAGGAATGTATAGGCTGGTGAAATTAGTTTTCTTGTAAATGGAAGCGATATGTAGATGATATGTAGAAATACGATTTCTTAAATGGAATCATCTAATTTTCAATACAATAATCGATGCAACTCATTATTTCCAACAGAATTAATATTAAGCTATTTACGTTAAAAAATCATTAAAACGATATAAAAATTCAACGAATTTTTTTTCGAGCGATGTAAATTAATATGAGAAAAACTTTGTAAAATGAAATAAAGTTAAAGTAATTTAGAAAAAGTTGTTCATCTCTAGCTAAGAACATGGAAATGTTTCAAGTTGCGATGCACATTCGTTAAGTTAAATTTAAAATTTGATAAAGCAGGACATGCATCATATTACGTAAACATTGCTTCTTAACTTCGCACAATATACATATTAATTATATTGGTAATTACCATTTAATGCATGCAACTTCACAAAATGAAAAACAGTTGAAATAATTAAAAAAAAATTTCTTCATCTCTAAAAACATGAAAATAGATCACGAAACATGAAACGTTCGTTAGGTTGATTTCGAATGACGAAATGCAACCTGCGCAATATAGACGAAAAATCATTTCTCAGCGATGTGACGAGAAATCTCATTTAAAGATTAAATTTCTAACGGGTGAACTTTGCTCCTTACCTTATAACTCATCTCACCACGTGTTAGCGTTACTTGCGAATCTGGTGGCGTGTGCGAAAGGAAGGTTAGGGAAGAGAGTCGGTCGCCGGAACATGCTGATTACAGAAAACCTGCCGCGTTCGTCGGGAACCGTACGTATACCTATCCACGAGATGTTTCTTGCAGCATCAGCTTGTTCGACGATCGTACCAGGGTTCGATGCTCCTTTTCACCACGATCGTTATTAACTTTTTACACGTCTATGGTAATCATGTCACTCCATTCAGAAACTGTCGAAGCAAAGAAGATTAGATCACCATCATCCACCCACCGTCTCTATTGTATGTACTCGCGACTCGCGAACTCGTGACACTAACTGCACTATACTATCATTTTCGATACCCGCGAATTACGATTGAAATTTAAACGCGATATTATACATGCGACATGTAACCTCGATATTTTTATTTATTCTATAAAATTATTATTTTTAAGAGCACCCGATTATTAATATTGGTCAATTCCAATTGACGATATGTGTGTATTATTCTTAATCTGATTCGATACTTTTGTGGCAATATTTAAACTGACCAATAGGAGACGTTGAAACAATAACATCATTGGTGAAAGCATATAGGTAATAATACGGTACGTCACAACACGAAACACGATCCATGATTGGCTTTCGCGTTCTGTCCTCTAATTGGTCGATTTAGAATTCCGTTTGTAATGGATGTGTGGTGTTTGTTTGTCTCGAGTGGATTAACTTTTTCATTATTAAGTAGTTTTAAAGAATAGTGTAAATAACGACCAGTGTTCATCGTGTTCCGAAATCATTCTTCGTATCGATGTTGTAAATATTTATTCAAAATATCTGACTTTAATCGCACACGGTCAATATATTGTCAATATTCTCCATTCACCGTACAGTAGATAAGCATAGTATTAATACCCGGATCGATTTTTCAATATTCGCCAACCTTCAATTTCAATATTAATATTTCAATATTAATGTTATTATCATAAAGATATAAAGATAATACGCAGCAAGTTATTTCTTACCGTGTAACTGAATTCGATATAGACACAAAGAGAATGTGCGTAGAAGCTCCTTCTATCCTTGTCTAATGAGGTATACACATCGACGCCGTTCGCTGATCGGTAATACACTTATGTATATATTTACTGTACGATTGTGCATACGTTAGTAGCAAGGGGCCTCTGTAACGTTTTGTTTTTATTCCTATATTACACTTTTAGTTCGCTCACGCGTCCTATGTTGATACACATCTCTATGTTTATTATTGATCGTGTCTGAGCTTCTATAAGGCTATGATTACATCGTATGGATCATAGATTTTTTATTTTTGTTACTACTAAAATCATACAGATGATTTAGACAAAATTAATGTTGCTTTTTATCGAGATGATTACGTATATATATATATATATCATATAACACATACATTATATGTCTATATATATATACATTTATATTGGATTATATTATATACATATATTACACATGTCACACATATCACATCACATATGTATACATTATGTATTACATATATATTCATATATGTATTTGATTGACGTATTTGTATTCGATATATTTGATTGACGTATTCATATTCGATATATTTGATTGACGTATTCGCCAGAACGTGCATCTACAGCGACCCTATCATAACAGGCTTAACACGTTGAACACCACAATTTTGCGATTTCCAAATTAAACCACGTGTGTGCCGACAATACTACTCACTGTTATTTGCTTTAACCGAAAATGTCTCGAATAGAAAGTTCATTATAGATACTACAAGATATTATAAGATACTACATACTACTAGATACTACAAGACTAACGTGGTTAACGTGGTATTGAACGTGTTAAAATAATCATCAATCGCGTGTCAGTTTTCCGTACAATCATTCGAATGACGTAGTATATACTCCGTCACTTGTTATTAATTTCCGCGTTCTAGATATCGTGTTTCACTTTTGTCCGCGTGTCGATCGTCTCTGATCGCCACGCCACTTCAGCAACAACAGAGCGCTTCGGACACGATCTCGCGTATCCCGTGAGTTAACAGGCGTCGTTATTAATTTCCCACGCGCGCGTGTTACAATTTTGGACTTAAACGCGGAACACGTACGATGAGAACGCGTTGATCCTTGTCGCGAGCGTGCAGCGCGGTGTGAAACTGTCTTCGTTGCGCGCGCAACGCGTGCTGTTGACCCATCGTCATGGCAACCGTGCGACGAGTCTACACTCGTCCAAGGTGGATGGACTGCGGCCTGACGCGACCGAACAGAAGTCAGTACACGCGCGGACGTCAAGCCGTATGTTCATGTTCTCTCTGTGCGAAATCGGAGTGACGTTTGACTTTGCTTGCGTCGTTCGTACTGCCGGTTTAGAGTGCTTGTGTTTTCTGTATCACTGGACGAGAGGGGGATCCTTAAGGCCGGCATTCATCGTGGCTAGACAGATCATGGAGTGACTGTTCGTCGATCGCACAAATAAGGTATGTGTACATCTAATTACAATTTATATTTTTGTCGATACTTACTGGCGCGGGGTTTTTATCGAACCGAAAGTTACTAGGCTAAGAAGGTTCTCGTGACACGGTTAACATTAGAACTATCGACGAGTAACGTACAACACTTGTAACAACGAAGTCAAAATAAAAGCTATGCATTTTCAAAAACCTACTGCTGCAAATCTAGAATAATTATATGAAAAAATTAAGAATTGATTGTTATGATTACGGTGATATATAGTTCTAGTATTAAAAAATGTGCACGCGATAATATCGTTACGAGATCGTTGACTAGCGCTTACTCGTCAGGTGGTAAAATTGAAACGATAAAACTGATAGGTTATTGAAAACGTTTTCGCGGAACATGGCAGGGCATATATTGTAAAAAGAACTAAGTGGCTTATGTGTGGATTCAGCAACCAATATTATATTGATACTACGTTCGATAACATATCTCGATCATGATTCTCTTATACAATTTTATAAATATTATTAACAAATTTATTAACAAAATGACAAGTTATAGGTTATCATTATTAATTAACTCTTTTGCATAGGGATTTCTCTATTTAAAAGTAAATCGTACAAATTACAAGTTATCACATTCTACTCGACTATCTATTTTTATTTTATTTATTCAAATTCCATATGTATATATATATATATATATATATATATTCATTTTTGTAAAATTGTAAAAGTATAAAAGAATTTATAATCTATAATTTTTAACTTGTCAACTCACTGATATTGTTAGAATTAAATAATTGTGCAAGACGGTCCATAAAACGCGCGAAAAGAAAAAGAAAAGATGGCTTCCTACTCAAATTTAGGCGCGAAATGATTAATCCAATATTCTTTACACGGAATATTGTTACACGACGAAAATTCGCAACGATATACGTTTTAATACCTAGAAATGTATAACTATCGTCTGTAGGACGACACCGTGATGCGTCGGAATACGTTAATGGAAACGAATGTTTCTCAAGTGCTTCAGTCTCTGTCAACCATCGGTCGAGTGGTTCTCTCTGCTTTTAGTTTTTGAAGATCGAGTTAGAAGTGAGTGCGCCGTTTATCAGGTTACGATGAAAGCGACGTTATCCTCGGGCTGAATGCACTTTCGTGATTTTTTCACCCGTCGTTTCGATTTTGAACGGGGATAAAAAAGCTTTTCACCTGGACCATCGATCCTTTTAAATAATCCTCGCGTTGTTCGCGTAGACATAACCATGGCTTTTTTGTCCGATTTTGGAGAACTTGGACATTCAGAAAATTGCCAGCCCGTTTTTCTAAAGTAGAATAAATTATACTTATTCTTGAATAATTCGAAAAAATTTTTATACAGAAGTTCATTTCTCATAATTAGCAAGTTTCAGAATTAACGATATGAAAGACATTTTAAGCTCAATTTATTCTGTTTTTCTTTCTAAACTAAATACACTAAAACGATCTCGATCATTTAGTAGAATAAATAGTAGGTATATTTATAAAATGGTAATTGGATTTCAAAATTGTATATCTTAATCTCATCATTTTTGGTGGAAAAAGAAGTTGGCTAAAATATTTTTAAATTTCTATCCCATCATCTTCATAAGGTTATTTTCTTTATGAATATCTACTATGAAATTGTTATGTATTTCTCTATAAAATAATGTTCTCCACTTTTACCAATCCTCATGCAATAATTCTCTGTAGCTTGTTTCAAATCTCATACGATTCTCTATCTTCTGATATGTTGCAACATTCTAATAATGATAATAATAATAATAATAATAATAATAATAATAATAATAATAATAGTAATATTTATTAATTTCGGCTTTTGCTGTCTCGAATTACATGTCTTAATGTATGTTCATCCATACAAATCTTCACGTACATATTTATGAATTATAGAGCGACACTTTTAAGTTATTAATAAACCTACATATATGCTACTTATTCATAGCTTTGATTTAGTTTTGCACTTTCATTTTCCTTTTCCTCTAAGGAGCGAATCCAGTTGACTGCCTATTCACAATATTTTCCTTCTACAATTCCTTTCATATTACCTCTCAACTTCTCCATTTTCTTGCACTTCGTTACACAGTGCTTCAACTTTCCTTCCCTATCATTACATAATTCTCACCTCTTTTTATCTTCCTCTAGCAAAAATCTATTCGGTCTCTCGAAGTTGCCGCATCTTACTCTTGCTATTCTTTTTTTGACTATCGTCTTCACCACGTTTACCTAGATATTCTGGCCTAGCTTCGTATCCAATTCATAGCACTGCAATAGCAAACTCCTTCATAAAATCTCCCTATTAAACCTTCAGTATTTTAAACATTAAATCACACCCTCCACGTATATTTACGCTACGCAAATACCATATGTGTATATTCGACTCGTGAATCGAAACGAAACATCGAGTATTCATAGAAGGATTGAGATGTGGTATCGAGTGAACCGGAAGTTGTTTAGAGGCTCATGAAGTTGCCGAGCAACACCACCAGTCTAATTCAAACGATGTAATTCGACGCAAGATCGTTGGACCAGTTGGCGGTACACACAAAATGGCGTCTATCAACGGGATGCGGCTTGGTTTAAAAGAGCTTGGCCAAATTTCGGCTTGATGGAAACTGTAGACGCGCCGACTTCCGCTTTACTTTAGCGTTTCAAGGTTACCACCGCGAAGACGCGCTCTAGTCTAAATAGTTCCTTTCCGAATAAGCTCGTCTCCACCGCCTTTGTTTTCGTTCCACCTACACCGTTCAAAAGGATCCGTGGTTGCTCAAAGCGAGAAGAAGCTTCTGCAGTATTCCGTTCACGAACCCTCGTATGCATTTGTATCCGACCCATAGTCGTTTGTCCATTTAGGCGACACGACAAACCCGAAACAAGACTGCAGCACGTCTTTTCTCTGTAGTCTAAACGAATTTCGAACGCGATCGTAATAAAAATTTCTATTCTCCAACCTTTCGACAACTTTACTCGTTTGTGTGAGAAAAAGAGTTACTGTTTTTGCAATTTGATGGAAGTTTAACCCCTTAACCCACGATTTACGTTCGAGAATTTTGGGCCGAAAACGTAAACAAGCTATTATATATTATATTATATATTATATTTGGCCCGATCATCGTACTACGGGCTATACCCGTAGTTGTAGGTTAAGGAGTTAATGATGAGAAAGGAATTATTGGAGCAAGAATAGAAAGAATGAGAGAAAAAGAAAGGATTGATCTTTGGTTCAGGGCTAGCGGATTTATTAGTAAGGCTCTGTTTATTAATAATGTCTCTTTATGCAACACTATGGATAGGATATCTTGTACTTTTATTTTGTTAATAGGATGATAAATATGAAAGGGTTAACTCTTGGAATTTTTCTTTACTTATGAAAGAGAAAGGTTTGCAGTCTTCTTATTGTAATGGGAGTTTGACGTTGTAATAAAAGGGAGCATAGAGGTGGAGAACAGGAAAAATGAAGGGGAAGTAAAGGGAGGGTGATCTTCCATCTAGGAGTGGTAGACATATTAGTAAGATTTATTAGCAAGCACATGTCCTAGACATGGGAACGTTGGTAGTGACATCATACCTTTTAGACACATTGGAACACATGTTTGTATGAACATGATAATTATAATTAGCCAAGGACTTGTGAAAATTATGTCAATGTAAATTCCTATACCTAATAGCGAGAGTGCATGCGTCACAGAGGAAATAGAAACTATTAATTGCTATAAGCGGATTGCTTGTGTAATGTATAGCTAATATGATACATACGTTAATAGGATACATTAATATTATAATACAAATAAGGTAAGAGGATAGATCCCATAAAAGATATAAAAAATTTTACAAGATTATCTAAATGTATGAGTACATAAATTTTGTACTTGTACTTCCATATTGTATATTGCATATAAGCTGTATTATATGTATTGATGACCTATATTATATGATAGAGAAATAAAATATTTATTAAATGTAAAATAAAATAAAAGTATTGGTTTCCATAATTTGCTCTTCATTTACAGTTAATTACTTCGATATAATTTTGTTACATACACAAATGAAGAATATAAAAATTCTTATTTGTCTTTCGGCGAAGGAAACTTTATCACACTAATTAAGTAATTTCGATAGGTTAGTATCACCGTCTTTTATTTTTATATCGAAATGCGTAATTCGTTCGGTTTCAAGCACTGTTTACCAAGCTTAAATTTGCACGCATTTGTTTATGTTAAAGTAATTAGGTCAGAATTAATATCGGTTGCGATACGGTAATTAACGAGGGTACTTCGACGTGCCCTGTTTGCGAAATACGGTCTCGTAATATTTGAAAATAGTAGGGAATATTTTGTACCAAAATAGTCATTTTCGTTAAATTACAGATTAAAAGTGCGATAATTTATTTTCATTTCATATTTAGTGGCTTAATTCTGTTATTTCGTAATCTAAATTACAATCAAATGTAAATTAATGATCTTAAATCACAATATATTATATACCATATTTACATTTATAAAAATTAAAACTAAACCAGTTGAAATTGATTTATTCTTATTAATACTGGGTTGTTTGGATTACTGGGTCGATTTATTTGTAATAACAATCCAATAATAATATTACTTCCACAGAGATAATTTCCTCCCCAAATAAACTAAAGTCTCGCTGCAAGATGAAATAAACTCTCGCTCATACAGAAAATTTGCTCAAATTAGACTATCATCGAAGCGATTAAAAATTGAATATCGCAAGATTTTCACTTCTATTCGCAATTCGATCGAAAGAAGAAGAAGAAAAGAAAAAGGAAGAACGTGTTCGATAGTATGGTTGGATAGGATAGGATAGGATAGGATGGTCGAGGCTTATTGTTCGTCGTAATGCAGAGTTTTCTATAGGTTGAATCGTTCGTGAATTTTTTTCTCTAATTGGAAAGGTACATGGAGCAGTATGCATAAGAATCGAAATTAAGGGTAACTGAGGATCAAATTAAGGGCGGG